GCATTACGCATTTTAGAACACTGCGCAACACATGATCTCCACTAGTTTGCATTAAAAAGGTGCTATTGTCGTCTTTTAAGTTAATGTATTGTGTTATATGTATATTGAGTCTCACATTGATTAATTATTGACTATTCTTATAATGACTAGTTTGATATACTGGATTAGATGGAACAAAACTTCAAATTTCATTCATCATTTTGAACCGTGTTCTAGACACGACACATCACATGAGAAACTTGCAAGAGGGGAGCTCCATAGCCTAATTCTTGCATCACCTTTCTATCTTGTGCTCAACAATATTAAATTCGTTGAATGATCAGTTTATTCAAAAAGAATTAATTTATTAGACATGAGAAATTATACATACATATTTTGTCTTGGACAAACCTCCTTGCATACTCATTCATTTATATGACCTTTTGTCCACACAAAATGAATAAAATTCAATGCGTAACTTCACACATCAGTTACGTGATATGTGAAGATCGCAATCTCTAATGGATTGCTCACTCGTCAATTCTATAATTTTTTAATTGGATAGTAGAAAAATGTTAGCTATTGATTCAAACAATGTATTGTAGTACAAAAACAAAATCACCATAATTTCATCGGAACACTCACACACGGTGGGGCCCACACAATTTTTTAAATACACAGTGGGGCCCATTGTGTGTATTTTTGATGAAATTCTGTTGATTTTTTTTTTCTGTATATGGGGGGATAATGCTTCTTCTATTACGATTGGTATGTTCTTAAGTCAGACAAGCCTAAAATGTTGATTCCTAGCAGGGGCGGAGTACAATAGGGGCCAGTGCAAGCACAGCCTATATTGAACTTTTGGCCAATCCAAATCAATTTCAATTATTTATTGGGAACAATATCTAAATCATGTTTTTATTAAAATTTATTTATGAATTAATTATATGTTTTATTAATAAATATGTTTTGTGATATATAATTTATGTGACTAATAAATTTTGTGATTTGTGACCGATGCACAAATTGTGACTTTTATTTTATGGTCACAAAACATCAAATTATAAGTCACAAATTACTTTTATTAGTCACAAATTAATAAATTGGTAGGCCACACAGTATTTATTGATCACAATTTATTATTTATTGGTACACATCAACCAATTTATTGGTCACAATCAACTAAATCACTTGTGACAACAACCACGCTGTTGCAACAGCCCAAACCACAGTCAGAACCACCACCACCACCACCACCACCACCACAGCCTCACTTCCACAGCACAACCACCAAATTAGAACGCAGAGGACCATCGTCACGACCAAACCCATCACCACCAACACTAAATCTACCGTCAGTAGCCTGATTCACCGCCACTAAAACCACCTAAACATCACCATGTCATGGAAACCACCACCAACAACAAACAAAATTCACCCAAATCAGGCATTCTACAGCACCACACAGGAAACCACCACATCACTAAAAAAAAGGGAAAAAAGAATCAGAGAAGAAACGGAGCCAACGTCACTTCACTCCGCGACGTTCAAATAGCCCCACTCGATAGTAGCGTCTTGGGGGTGGTGGTGGCAGCCACGACGTCTTTGCAGCAGTCCGATGAAGAGATAGAAGAAGAAGGGAGAGCGGTGGTGGCGGCACTGGCTGAGGAGAGAGGAGGATCAGAGACGGTGACTTAATTTAGGGTTTGAACGTGTGGACGTGTGTGTGTATATATATATATTATTATTATTATTATTATTATTATAATATTAATTTATAATATTTAAATA